TTGTCTCTTCAAGACTTCCTTCAAGAATCACTCTCAACCTCTCAAAACTCCATGAACACGTGGAGAAAAAGATCTAGGGTTTCTTCTAGGCAAGGAAGGCTGGTATGGAGGCCATCCCTAGGAGTTAATGTTCCTTAAATAGGGTGCAATGCCTGAAAATTAAGGTTTTCATCTCCAGTGTCAACACATCGAGTCGGACCTCCTCAACTCGTCGAGTTGGTTTTCTAGAAACATGCATGATAAATTTCCAAAACATCGAGTTCTTCCCCTTGAAATCGACGAGTTAGACTTAAAAATGAAGTTTTTCCTTTCTTAATTAACCTTCTAGATTGCGGGTGTTACAACTTTCCCCCACTTAAACTAGACTTCATCCTCGAAGTCTACTGGAGTCACCTCCTTCAGATACTACTCACACGTCACACCCACGACTTCCTCTATCTACTTACTATTCCGACTAATGTTTCCTACAAAAACTTTCACTAACCCTGCTACCTTACGTCTTCAAGATCGACATTTTCCGCTGTATATCTGCCACTATTTCCTTTCCAGATTCAGGCGTCCTTAATCCTGGATAACGATCAAGTGAACTACACGGAATCGATATCCAAGCACTTACGTGCCTAAGACATATTATGGACTATGAATCAGTATGAACTTCTATTATAATCCTACATGATACGTTACCTTGCCCATTCAGGCCAAAACTTGATAGAATGACTGTACCGGGCCTTCAGCCTTGCTTCACGAATCGGGGAGTTGATCCTTAAGGTGGATCATTGAGAGCACTTTGACCTTAATAAAACTTGAGTATCGAACTCTTACCACAAATTGACAACCCATTCAGAACCCAACGATACCGACACCCGACATCCCAAGGGACACAGCCGTCACCCCGAGCTTCTGATGGCCTTCCCAACACAACTGATCGCAACCCAACCAGACTCCTTCTAATATCGGTGAAGGGTAAATCCTTCTTCTCATGCGGGAACTACTCCTACCTCCCCGGATCCTGAGACCTCACATTAGTCTGACTCTTTGTTAGGCCGCTTGTGTTGAAACAGTACTAACAATTTCCTCAAGGAATGTTTAACCGACAAACACCTCCAATCCTAATTACCTCGATGGTACCCACTAAATGAATTCACTTACCATAACCAGATGCAGGACGCCCACATCCATAATACCATATTCCTGCCCGGTTGTTGAGCCAACGAGCAACCTTGCATTTTCCCCACACAATCTTCGAAGGAAACCTTGTATTGCGATATATACCCTAGCCATACCGCCACTAATGGCTCCATCAATCCTTCTGATGTATCTGATTGTAATATCCTAGTAACCTGTCAACACAGAATCTAATACAATAACTGAATGATACCAGAAACGTTGTAGTTTTACATCACATCGGGTCTCCAACGACTCATCTTTTCCTTGCTTCAACCACGTTGTGGCTCTTCCACGGATATCACCAATCCAAGACACATCACAATAACTCGAGATGCGATCAACTAAGCCCATCCATTACCCTTGAACCTTGAAATTGACCCCCTTGGCATATAGATACCTCAATCATATTTCACTAAAGTGAAAATCCTACATTGAACGTGTGAACTCTGATTCGGGATCTTATCCAAACCAAACCGATATTGTGCTCCTACCCAGAGATTCGCGAATCTTCATTTGCATAATGCACCATGACTTCCCGACATCCCTTACCTGACCGATAAATAAATATCCTTAAGCAAATCCACAAGACTACCAGTCTCGGACCTGATCCAACCACCAGATTCCCAAGAGATCAATATCGAAGCTACCCAATCTAGAATCCTCTGCGTCAAACACTGGTTATCCATACGATCCTGCAACTCAAGATCTAAACCCTTGACCCAACAATCTTTACCAATTCCAACCTAAATTTCCATAATCACCCAAGCTTGCCCACGGATCCCAAGGTACCTCATCCTAGAACAAAGAATAATTCCCTAACAACCCTGGCCGGCATGCCCCAAGCAGAAGCTGATCCCCCTTTCCATTCTTGTGACCGTCACATACATAGTCTACTTCAAACTAATGAATGCTACGATCCTATCATAACCTAACACTACATCCATCACATACATGGCCTTTCCACACTCCACTATCACATCGTCGCACCTGTGGAGCCGAATCCTATATCCCATCAGGGGTTCAAGTCGCACCGATGGATCCCCACTGATCTCTATGCATAATCAAGGCGATGCTAACCGGTGATTAGGAGTTTCCTGAACTCCCATCAACAGAATCTAGGCCTAAGGAGCCAGTTGTTTCTCCCCCACTTGGAGTTGGTGATGCTCTTTCTCCTTTTATGCCTTATGGATCTCCGATCCATTTCCATCAATATACATTACCCGCCCAAATCCTGCGCCGACAACCCAAGCGCCCCATAGTTATCCAAATACAATGATCACTCAGCTTTAGAATCTTGATGAATACTCTTGTATTCTTAACCAATCGGATGATCCAATCACTCCCTAAGGCACCATTTTACAAATGAATTTCGAAGGCAAATACAAATTTACCACCATCTTACCGTTGCCTATGGATTGGTAAATGCTACGGGCTACCCCGCAGTCTCACAACATTCCCGCCTTATCAAAATGGTCCAAAATCTCACCGTCGGTCCATCAGATCAGACACACCCTAAATCATGCAACCACTCGTAATGTCACCTGTTGACAAGATAAATCATGCTACGCTTGTAGTGACCCATAGTCCTTGAGCGATAACTCCATCGTACGGTTTGTCGCTCGTGCTACACTGCATTCGACCTTGCTTTTCACAACTAGCATATTAGGGATAGGAATTTCCATCATTGTACAAGGTAATTTCTTTGTGTAATCTTGTAATCCTACCTTTGGTATAAGCCAAACTTCAATGCTATACAAGTTTATACATCCAAAATTATGATTCACGTCAATACTTCCTCTTGTAAGCCCAAAACCTAACCTAATAAGCGATGTCCACTCAACTTTGGGTCTTAACCCTGAGTTCTCAGTTCAAACCTCTTAATGAACCAAGACCTTCTTATTGATCCCTTCTTGGACTAAAAGCCCTATTTGACCTTTATATGGGCCGAGAACCCATATTTTGGCCATAGTTGGGCCAAAAATCTTTATTTAACACCGTTTCGGCCATAAGACCCTTATTAGGCCTTATTGGGCTGTGAAGAATTATTTTAAAGCTTATAGGGCCTTCTATGACCGAAAACCACTAGTGGGCCCCATTTGGGCCGAAAACCTTTCCATTTAATCTCATTAGGCTGAAAACCCACATATGGGCCTTAATGGATCGAAAACTATTATTGGGCCCAATGTATTCTCAGTTGCCCTTCAAGCCTAAAAATCTTTTCTTTCTCCTTTCTCCTTTAGGACGATCGGTTAGCCCATCTAATAAAAAAACTACACTGGACAAATATGATGTCTCCTCAATATTATACTTCATACATCCATGCATATTGTCCAAC